GCCGGACAACGCTATGACATTTGTGTTGATAAGATGAGTGGAGCTATGAAAGCCGTAAAGCTAAAAAACAACGTAAAAATTTTATGAGCAGTTTTTTTTCAGGTTTATCCGATCATCAATCTTCCTTCCATAAGAAAGTCGATGGTTCACGAAGCTTATTTCAAAGCCTTCATTCGGAGCTCGATAGAAGACTTTCCTTTCAGTGAATTTAGACGGCAAGATAGATCACATGTGATTAATGGCATTTGTGTTGCTGTTGTATCACTATTAAATGATAAAAAAATTTATTAGACATCCTTGTCGTGGAGAACTCCTGAAGAAAAAATCATCGCTTGGAAGTTTCGAGCTCCCGTCTCACTTTCATTATCTTTTGGGCGTCATGTCTATCGTTTAATCGATTCTTGGTCATGTAATGAGTGACGTAGAGATCCAGAAGCGCATCTGTGTCTCCTGCAATTGCATGTGCTACTCACCACTGAGAAGGGAACATGTGGAGGAATGGTACCTTTCAGCATGGCATCTTTCACGTCCTTCATGAAACTATCCGATCTAACAAAAGTGGAGGGCATGTGGGGACGAAGGTCCAGGCCAGGAAGCGGAGTCATCCACTGTCGGACTAAGTTCTTCGGCTTAACAGTGAGCAGGCTGGGTCCGTCTCTGTGTACCCTGGAACAGTTGAGTTGTCAAAGAGATGATAACCCTCCAGAAAATGATGCAGTACCGCGGAAATGAATAAAAAGTCTACCTCATTAGAGCATCCAACATTGGAGTTCCCAGGTTGTTCCGATCGGTTCGTGTGAGTCTATTACCGTGGAAGAAACTGCGTTCGGGGTCCGCATTGCTTGCAGGAATGACAAGCAAGCACTTCAGGGCCTTAAAACGGAACGGTGAAATAGCAACATAAAATAAGAATACATGCAACTTTTCACCTGACGCACAGCATGAGGGATCTTCAGTACGTCGGCCCTGTTGAGCAGCTCTTGATAGAGTCGTATGCTGTCCTTGTCGTGGCGAAGATTTCTCGGCCAGTCATTCAACACACGTACTTCTTTAGCAATAGAATCATAGAACTCTGTGAAGTGCCTTTTGCATCGGTCAGGGAGCAGAGTGTTTGTATTTCAACAACAGATTGCCAAATACGCTGATGGCGGAGGTCTTTATCCACATTTCCCTCTTTGTCTATGTAGTCAGGATAGCCGCGGTTTTCTCGGCTAGTATTTGGCAAAACACAGTCCTTGAAATTCTCGTAGTCACCATTGCATTCTATTATGTCAAGAAGAATGTGCCTGTCCAGCGCATATGGGAAATAGGAGGGTGCTTCTGTAATGCGGCGGCGGAAGTCCATATAGTGGCCGAGCTTCGCATGGATCTCCGTGTAGAAGTTTCACCGTTGCAAACATTGCTCTGACGTGGGGAAGCAGCTGTAAGGGCCCAATCAGAGCCGCAGTGAGAGACTGAGATGCCTCTGTCATCAAGAGACTTATAAGGAAGAACATGCAGAGCAGGTCGACTTGGAAGCAAAATTCCAAGTCTCTCCGAAGGTAGCATCCAATTCCGGTCCTGAGTGTGAGCAAAAGCAACAAAGCTCTTGATCCTACTTGAAAGCCATTCTTGAGATGAGCGTGAAACTTCCCGCTTTTCAGTGATATAAATATTGTTGCCTGTTGTAGATGTTTTGACATAAGTAAAACTCTCCACAAAGGTGTGATAGTCTTCGTCGGTGTTCAAGTGAATTAACAGAAAAATTGTCTGGAACTTCGGCTCGCGTGCCTGCCCGCTGAAGAAATCCGTTATGCTCTTCCCGTGAGTCGATTCTACCTTTTTGTTACAGTTAAGCCAGTTGACAAAGCGCGAACACTTGGCTACTTTCTCACTGAATTCGTAGAATTTGAAATCAATACGAGAGTTTTCCTCAAGCGAACTGCCAACAACGTAGAAGTCTTCCAGTTTCCCCTTTTTCTTCTCCCACTTTTTATTGTTGAAGTCGACGAAACTTTTCACGGTGAAAGCGTCAGGTTCACCAAGCTGCAAAAATATTCGTATACGAACATGGATTGTCAAAATACTAAAATCTTACCAAAATAGGCCTGTTTCCGAAGTAAGCAGTCCGTCGGCTTATGACAGATTTCAGGTGTTGCTGTTGTCTTTAGGCATTGGCTTCAGAACAATGAAGTTCATGAATTGCGTGTCGCATAAGATGTTGCGAAACGGAGCGAAGAAGATTCCCGAAGAACTGAGAAAACACAAAAATCGGTGGCAGGTGTGCTGGTCCGTGCAGAAATCTTAGAGGCCGACTCAAAGGAAAAATGGGGGGGCCAGACTACAACCGTATGTCATGTAAGTGGCGTTAGGAACAACTGGCGTGGTGTAGCTTGCGGAGCTCTGAAATGAATCAACAGAAATCCGTACAATAGTTAATAAGTGGAATAGCAAACTACGACTGAAGCGAGGGAACAAGAGATGCGCAGAACAGGAAACCTGTGAAAACCAATCCGTAAAGGCATGGAAAGGTAGGATAAGGAACCCGAGCGCGAGGAGGACTTGGATAGCAATAGGCGAGCGCGTAGCGCGCTGTGAGGAATCGAAGCAGGGGCGCGCCGGAGGAGGGAAAAAACTCATCCGCGCGCGTTTGCGTAGCGGTTCGGCGTCGCCACGACAGCAAGAAAAAAAAGAAATCAATAAAGAGAGAGAGAAAGGCGACGTCTAACCGCTACACAAACGGGCACGGATGAGCTTTCAGACGGAAATCGAATTACCAAGTGACATTAAATGCACTTTAGGGGTCTGCAGCATTGATGGGTACGCATGGATGAGGGATTACGACTCATGTTTCTATGACTCTGAAGACATCCTCTTGATGAAGTCATTTTGTAGAGCCCTTCGTACGCCTCCGTCTTTGAGAGCGGCAATCGGATGCATGGCGCGCACCCACGAGATCGATGATAACGAAGCTCTTCTACCCCTCAATTAGACAGGGATACGTTTTCCGGAGAAACATCGAAGTTTTCGAAGGTGTGTCTTCACAGCTGGAGTCGATCTTTCGGGTGGTTCAAAGGGTAGCGTGAGAATGACCCATCTAAAATATCTCCTGAACTAGCGGTCTTCAGGAAAACTGTAAAGCTTGTTGGAAAGAGAAAAGATGGGGCTCACCAGGACGATTTTAACCCTGATGAAACTGCGTTTGAAATAAGCAATTCTTGTGTGAAGCATAAAAACCCGCTTGCGAATTACCGCTTGCACGAGGCGCACACATCCCGAATATTTCCCAACGGGGGAACATTCAGATTGCAACTAGGTAGAAAACCTCAACTGTAATTAGACCTCCGTAGCATGCTGCTTACATTCCTCAGAAGCTCCGTATCTGAAAGAATAATAATCTTCCGAAAAGACTCCAGGACGGTCTTCTGGCTTACTACCGTGCTCCAATGACAATGAATGAACGAATGAAAGCGGCTGCAGCGCGTAGGAATCGATAGCTCGCCGCATTATTGCCTTCTTCAGCTGGAACTGCCTTGTCCCGAAGATTACTGCTGCTTTTTGCGTTTGTATGTGTTTTGTGTTGTTTGTTTTTTGTTTAAAGTGTTGTTTTTAGGCGCTTCTTTCTGGTTTCTGTCTTTTTTGCGTTTTTTTTTGTTTTGAAGTGTCGTTTTTTAGGCGTTTCGTTCCGGTACATTGTTTTTTGTGATTACTCCGTTGCAGTATCGTCGTTCGTTCGCAGGTCTGCGATCTCGGGCGTTTCTATTCTGCATGCGAAAAGTTGCCTTGTTATAAGAAAATTTGTTTTGAAAGTCTTGTTTTTGGGCGCTACCTTCCGGTACGTTCTTTTTTGTGGTTATTGTGGTTATTCCCATGCGGCATCGTCGCTCGTTACGAAGGTCTGCAAAGGTAAAGAGTTTTTTGAGTTTAGTAATTATCCTGTTCATGCTTCGAGGCTTTTTATTTGTATTGCGATGGTTGTAGCCTGTACGGAACTACGTGTGATTTGTTTCAAGATAAAATGTACCGGAAATTTATAAACAAATCGACCTCGAAACATGCGCCTCGAAACAGGGAAACGATCATTCCATTTGCGTCTGGCGTACTAACGGTCTTTTTGGGGCAATTGCTGCTCCTTATATTTCTGCTGACAATCGCCTTGATCATCTCCGTACTAGTGAGTCCCTCTCCTTTCTTTTTCACATCTATTTCCTTCTAATATGTATAGTCCATTCTTTCCAGTGGCATTTTTGTTGTTTTCCTAATTATTTCCTTACCGTAAAGAAGATGTTATTTTTGCGTTTTGTTGAATCTTGATTTGAGGTGTTTTTGTTTAGGGTCAAAATTTGTAAGTATGTATATAGGTGTTGTTTTTCCAACTGTTGAAGAAGTTGTTGTTTTTTGTTGTTTTTTTTCGACTGTTGAAGGAATTGTTGTTCTTCTTTAGTTTCAATAAACTGTCTATCAAGAACGGTGTTTCTTGTTTGGAGTGGGACACATTTGAGAAAAAAACTTTATTAGGTGTATTCACAGGGAGCAAAAGCTCTTTTCTTCCCACTGAGTGTCGAGTAGTTGGCTGTAGATCTCGTTGCCGCCTGAAAAAAAGTTATTTAGGAAGCAATCATAGCAAAGCAGGCAAATTTGGAACATTTGTGCAGGAGGGGGGGGTCGTAACTGGACCCACTTGGGGGGGGTCGTACTCTGTTGCCATTTCGCACATCCCCATGCTGTACCCTGCTCGTTCATGAGGCGAGCTGTGCTCTACTCGCCTTGCAAAGACAATTCTGGTTTATTACTGCTTGAACTGCTAGTTCTAAGTGAGTGGAACTGACCTTGCTGCCCATTTGACGAAGATCCCATCGCTTTTGATGTCATGCGCGGCGTCCGCTGAATACCTTCAGTATTATAGATGTCACTGCAATTATTTTGTTCGTTTGACTCACTTTCCATGGGCTCTTGACCCGCCAGAATCATCCGCCTCCTTTCTTGGAGTTTCTCACGGTCCGCCGCTTTTGATCGCAAGAGTTGTGCCTGCAACATCTCTATCTTTTCTTCCTGCTTGGTTGCGTGGTGAACCACTCGTTTAGCATCGCAGCCGTAGAGATCACAAAGTAGCGCGACTACTTCTTTGCTCTCGCTGCCTATTGCTTGCTTATTTTTTAGCATAGAGCTCTAACAATAGTAAAGAAAGTGAAAGAGTAGAGAAAGGGGAATAAAGAAAAATAAAAAGTGATTCGTTTCGCCTCCGACTCAGACGAATCACTGTCTTACGTCATCCCCCTGAGGCTCTTCAGTGAGTGGGGGATGACGTATGAAAGGTATATGTAATGAGCGGTGAAGTGTACTGAAAACATTCCTAATGGTTAACTATGTATTATTGTAGAAGATAGAATAGGTACATGTGGATTAATAGATGAGTGGGTAGGAATAGAGTTTGGGGAAAGGAGCGATATACACTACGAGGAGAAGCGACATCCTTTATGGGTGTCTGCGTTCGTGAACCATCTCTTTACTAGTGTAAGGGAAGGACGCTTCGGCACGACTCATGTTAGACCCTGCATGGGATGAGGAAGCCGCCGCGAGGTGATGAGTTTATTCCATAAAGCCGCTGATAAGTAGTGCCGAAGCGTCCTTCCCTAGCGCTAGTAAAGAGATGGTTCACGAACGCAGACACCCATA